CTGGGGGCTGTAGTGTACAGCATAGCAGCAGGAGGCACAAAGACCACAGAGACAGCATCTTTTATCTGGCCTATTAATTATTTATTCAACAGTTCCATGAAAGTTCGACTCCTTGGTCCAGGGTCATCGTTCTCAGTTGATTTGTCTGGGAGGTAACACAACTGTTTGCCTTGATATCATCATGTTGATCTCCCGCATTTGATTCATTTTCCTTTAATTGCAATCTTCATGCAACTGAAAAACTTGCTTCAAGATCTATCTAATCAGAGCTGCTACTGTATGTGGCTGAGGATGAGGAGCAGTGAGACCAGATCTGTGTGGTGCTGTAGTTCATATTTATAGGCTAAATGAGTCTTTGTAATTACCCTGTTGCCATCGCTGTGTCTGCGAATCAGCTCTCTTCAGCCTAGTGGGCTGCAAGCCTCTGAAACAGGAATGCTAAATACATAGGACCAGAATATGCATATGCCATTATAGGCCAAACTTAAATTTTGGCTGCATTTCGGTTGGAGCCCACATTTGTCCTGAGTTCTCCAGTCAGTCATTTGCATGGCAGTGAGAAAAGGTTTGAATGCTCTGCTGTAATGCACATCAACACATTGCATTTGTTTTGTACCACCCAGTAAATACACACAGAGTTGTGCAATTCATAAATGTACCACCAACAAGTCAGTAGCAGCATATCAGTCTTGTTAAAACATGTAATCTGTTCTGTTTTATTTATTTATTTGTGCAACTAACACAGTTCTGACACTTTAAAATAATACAGAGAATTTATATTTAGATGATGAAAATGGAGAGGGCTCTTTCTCTATATGATGTCACGTCACTGCAGCAGTTGGCTGGTGATAAGGAAAAAATGCAACTTTACATCCACAAATGTGGTTTGGCTTCTTATCATTGTCCTGCGGCTGATCTGTGGAGGGGTGAAATAACACAAGCATGGGCTAGATAAGGTGTGTCATCTTTTACAGTAAATAAGTGTGATGCACATGCACTATTTCCAAGTTATTACTGATATGATGACAGCATTCTGATTGAGGACTGCCCACATGTTGTATGTATCAGCATGCTGAGTCTGAAGCATGGCTGGTTTCACGATTGAAATATTCCCCATCCCTGAGTAAACACTTGACTGTATCCGCTCTCCCCTGGATCCTGGCTCCCTTATTGATTGGTCTGGACAATGTTTTTGCCATTGTGATGGTTTCCTGTACAGCAGGGTCAACAGGGGAAATGGAGAGGTAAGCAGATAAAGTGCTCAGAAACATGGTGCACAATACCTATTGTATTTTAATTGCAGGTTAAACTGTTACATTGAGAATGTTTACAACATACCTTTTTGTGTGCGTGTCTGCTTGCATAATTAATGTATTTGCGGACCTCTCAAAAATACAGCCATGGCCAAAAATACTGGCACCCCTGCATTTCTGTCAGATAATTCACCACCTCTCCCACTGTTGCAATCACAAATTATTTGGTATTCTCATGTTTATTGCTTTTGTTTGCATTGCAAATCTGATCTATTCCACACAAAACTCCAAGCATGGACTGGACAGAATTATTGACACCCTCAACTTAATATTTGGTAGCACACCCTTTGGACAAAATAACTGAAACCAATCTCTTCCTGTAACCATCAGTTTCTTCCACCTCTCTACTGGAGTTATAGACCACTCTTATTCTGCCAACTGCTTCAGGTCTCTCAGATTTGAAGGGTTCCTTCTCCAAGCTGTTGTTTTGAGATCTCTCCACAGGTGCTCTATAGGATTTAGATCTGGACTCATTCCTGGCCACTTCAGAACTCTCCAGCACATTGTCTGAAACCATTTCTGGTGTTATTTGTATCTGTCTGGGTCATTCGTCCTTCTGTAAGACCCATGACCTCTGACAGAGACTCAACTTTCTGACACTGGGCCCTACATTGTGCCCTAGAATTTGTTGGTAGTCTTCAGATGTCATAATGCCATACACATAGTCAAGACATCCAGTGGCTGAAGCAGCAAAGCAACCCCAAAACATCAGCGAACCTCCACGGTGTAGGGACTATGTTCTTTACTTTGAAGGCCTCATTTCGTTTTCTGAAAACAGCAGAATGATGTGCTCAATCAAAAAGCTCTAGTTTAGTCTCATCTGTCCACAGGACATTCTCCCAGAAGGATTGTGGCTTCCTCGGGTCAGTTTTGGCAAACTCCAGTCTGGCTTTTTTATGTTTCTGTTTCAGCAGTGGGGTCCCCTGAGTCTCCTACCATAATATCCCTTGATATTCAGATGGCGACAAATAGTGTGAGCTGACACTGTTGCACCCTGTGTCTGCAGGTCAGCTTGAATTTGTTTGGAAGTTGATCGAGGTTCTTTATTCACCATTCAAACAATCCTTTGTTGCAATCTATCATCTGTTTTTTTTACTTTGGCCACATCCAGGGAAATTAGCTACAGCACCATGGGCTGTAAACTTCTGGACAATGTTGCACACAGTGGACACAGGGACAGCCAGATCTCTAGAGATGGACTTGGAGCCTTGAGATTGTTCATGCTCTTGAACTGTTGTGCTTCTCAGATTCTCAGACAATTCTTTCTTTTCTCCATGCTCAGTGTGTTCCACATGACACAAGGGTTGAGTCAACTTTTCTCAATTTTAACTGGTTGCCAGTGTGATTTCTATGTTGCCAGCACCTGTTGGCATTTCAGTTTCAATATCAATTTCCATTGTTATACAGATGATACTCAGTTATATTTATCTATGAAGCCAAATGAATCTGATCAGCTGGTAAAACTTCAACCATGTCTTAAAGACATAAAGGCCTGGATGACCTGCAACTTCTTACTTCTAAACTCTGACAAAACTGAAGTCATTGTGCTTGGGCCTGAAAACCTTAGAAATCTGCTGTCTAATCATATAGTTACTTTAGATGACATAGCCCTTGCCTCCAGTACTACTGTGAGGAACCTTGGAGTCATCGTTGATCAGAATATGTCCTTTAAATCACACATAAACCAAGTCTCTAGA